TACTCACTCATATGTTTATACCGAATGGATTATATCTCTCTAATTATCATATTTCATTTAATTTGGCTTCAACATCATTTGTGACCAAATCAAGTAAAAATACCATAAAATTAAAGCATTAATTGTTAATTGAATGTGAAAAAAAAAACAAAAAAAAAACTATGAATACATCATGGCAAGAATGCCATTAATTTATAAAATAATGGTTAATGTATCAATACAATGAAAATGCATCATCAAACAAGAAAAATATAAAAAAAGGAGTATATATAACCATTACAATGAAAGTGCATCATCAAATCATAAAATAGGAAAGGAGTATATATAACCATTACAGTGTTCATTACTTATATTTAGCTAGAACAATAATACTTTGACAATGAGTATATAATTAGGTAGAACAATAATACTTTGAAATGAAAAAAAAAAAAAAAGTCAGCACTTTTACTCAAAATGCCAACACTATTATGATTTTTTTCATGCAAAGGAAGATCTATTTTAAAAACTTTCGATATTTGAGTTTCAGAAACATACAACTTTAGACATTTTAAGCTTTAGAAATAAAAATTTTTGCATTAAATATATATATTTAACTCTATGTTATTTCCCAAGCTAAAAGAGAATGAGTTGAAAATATTAATTTAAAAAATTTACAAGACAATAGGGAAAGGAAAATCTTGTAACTAATTTTTTAAAATGTATATTAATATTTTACAATTTATAATTTATTTTAAAAATAATTTTTATTTGTAATACCCGTGCATTTGCACGGGAACAATACTAGTAAATAAATAAATCGGAGAGAAAAACTTCATGATTTGATAAAAAAAAAAAAATGGGCCACCGTTTTGGAGTGGGCTTCTGATAGAAGCCCAATAGTATTTGGTTGTCTTGTACAAAATACGAAATCAGGATCCAGACAAGTCCCGCAAATACCACTATACCGACGAACAAAATCCAAATAAGGCCATCCTCGCCGCCCGGCGGCCACCGGCCAGGCGCTCAAGCTATAACTCAGAACTTGGAGCTCCCCGTCCACCGCCGCCAAGATCTGGTAATGAAAAGTAGGTTCCATTACCTGTGTGTGTTTGTTGTGTAAATTGATTTTATTAGTTTATCGAACAATTGAGCTTCGAATAAATTAAACTCTGTTGTGCAAATTTGAGGCTTTTTTTTTTTCTGTATCTCTGCCGTGCGGGCGCATTAACTTGTGAGGGAGATAGAAGTTCTGTTGGCATGTAGTTTGGGGCTGCGTGTGTGTATGGGATGGAAAAGGAAAAATAAAGTTTATGCTGATTCTGCTAATGTCATTTGTGTTTGGGTGTTCATCTGATTCTACTAATGCTCATATTTCCTGCTGTTGATGTTAAGTTTCTAAGTTTATGCTTGTTACTGCATTTGTGTGTGTTATATGTACCAGCTGAACTTTTGTGGGCTTCCTATTTGGAATGAAGATATCGCCGTTATTGTGTTGAAAACTCTTTGGGGGTATGGTGGAATCGGTGACGATTCACAGCCTAGTAGTTACATTTTCGTCCCCTTAACTTTAATTTCATCATTAGCCACCGTATTTGCCAAAAACAGAAAGTAAAAATGAAACAGAACGATGAGCGCATTGTTGGTTTTATGTTGAGAAGTAATTGCGAGAAAAGGGAATTTGAGATTGTTCAACTTTGTCTCAAATATCGAGAAAGTTGATGCCATTTAGGAAATAGAACAAGTTGAACATATCTATTATTTCAGGAACTTAAAGAAGTTTCGAAAAGGCCTTTAATGATGCCGTGATAGACTTGTCTGCATATTGTTAAGGTTTCTTTAAAATGTATGAGTTGGTGTGCCCAACGAGACTCTTCTTTTTTTCAACCTTCACCATCCCCGTGGATGCTAACGATCGATTGCCAGGCCTTGTTTTGTGTCGAGTGAAAGCTTAGCAATGGGATGTAGTTATTTTCATGTTAATTATATAAACTAATAAATGACTTAGCTATGCCTAGCATGTTTATTCAATCATCTTTTAATCGCATTAACATTTGTGTTCAACTCGGGATCTGTATAAACCAGTGTGGAAAATGTGAAACTTAATACTTTATTTTTCTTGTGTTTTTTTTCTTCTTCTTCTTTTACCAGTTTGAGTCAAATTTGATTTAAGATCTGAAGCTTTTAGGAGTGAGTTAAATATAATTGTAAGGTCATTCAAAAAAGAAGTCAAGTACAGAAAATTGACCATTAGAATTCATAAAGTAGAGAATGCAGAAGAACTTCAGTCTCCTACAAACAGTAGCAACCGCGGGCATCTTCTCAGCTATCTCCTGTTGGTATTTATTTTTCTTGCTCACTATGCCTTTCTTGACTCTCACTAGTCTTCTCTGTATTTTTATTGATGTCTTGATTTTTTTTTTTTTTTTAATTTAGGTACGGGTTCATGTTTGGGAGAGAGTCGGCCCGCAAGGAGCTCGGTGATTTAATCGAGTCTCTCCGCAATCCCAATTCTGATACGGCTCCCACCGAGCTGCCTCACCATGAATCCTAAATTTGGTGAGAATGTTAGAATTTTTTTTAGCATGAAAGTATGCAGTAATGGGTTATAAGGGTTGGCTATATGGTTGGAACTTGGAAGTAAAGTATGATAGATTTTCAGCAAGGACTTTTAGAAATAGTTCCTTACCAAAGATCCCATTGTCGTATTTTCACAAAACATATGTGTAGTTTCCAATTGAGTACCTCGATTGTTGGAGTTAAGTTAGTGAAGTTACCAATTATGTGACGAGTTGCGGCGATTGGGAATATTGAAAACTTCGTTGGGTTATATTCGGTGACAATCGGGATACACTGTCAAATTTCTACAGAAATTTTGTGCTTTGTACTAAAATTGAAAACATGTTATATGTGGGATTGAATTTTTTTTTTCCCTGTCCGACAATAATAATGCAAATCTATATCTAATCTAATCTATATAAAAATCTATATAAAAAGGTCTGATTATTTTTCAAATAGTAATCATTTCCCGCCAAAAAAAAGTTGTTTACTAATTTTGAAAATTATTTAAACACTTTATGGTATGTTTTAAAAATACAATTTAGGTAATTGCGGCTGATTTATTAAGTTTATAAATCACATAAAAAAGATCGGACATGTAATAGAAAGTTTGAAACTTATGAATCTCTTTTGTATTTCAAGATATTCATATTATATATATGTACATATATATATCCTCCATATATATAATTACAGAATGCGCAGAGTCTACGTGACTGCTTCTGGTGCTTCGGAATCCTATTTGGCGAAGAATCTTGCTTCGTAATTAGGTTTGGACAAATAATATTAATATATTAATAATTAATAATCTAGGTTCATGTATTCCATAAATATTATTTAGCTAACTTAGGTATTTTAATATCACTTTTACTAATATATCCCTTTAATTATTTGTAATTTTACATAGTGAGACACTAAGTGACTAATATATCCCTAAATTTTGATTTGCTTCCTTCAATAAGCTATTGAATTATAAAATGTATTTTAAAAGTAGATAACTTTTGTATTTATTATCGGTTTTACATATATAATATATCAAATTAATCATCTTTTGGTGATCTTCGATTTGACATTCATATGGTAT